CCACCCACCACCTTTGCCCCTCTCCCCTGCTCACTCACTCTCTCTAAAGTTTAAAAAAAAATTTTTTTTAAAGGATGGATTTTATGGTATGTGAATTGTATCTCAAAACAGTTAAGAAAGAAGAATATTTCCTATGGAGATACAGGACCCCCCCCTTTTTTTTTCTAACCCCAGATTTCTAGGTTTTGACCTAAAGTTTGCCTAAGAGAATATTTTAATATTTTCCTGGTATCTGCTTTTGAGTGCATCAAGCTACAGCGGATGTAAGAAACTGTTAATTATGACTCAGCTCATGTCAGTGAATAAGATTAAGCCTCATCAAGTTAGGACCTTGCCCTTCTTGTTTCCTAGCAGACCCATGAAATGAGACTTTTAATAGATTTATTGAATCCCTTCTACATCATAGGACAGAACAAAAAGTACTGCAGAGTTGTTGGGGTAAAAGTAAAGTCAGCTTGATAAATACCCTTGAGTATTAAAGGTGCTAAAACAAAAAAGCTGAATTTAAAATTGGCAGTGTGAGTGGTTGAAAATAGGTGGATGCTTTGAAAAAAGCTAAAGTGAACAAATCAGGACTATAGATGCTGGAGAGGATGTGGAGAAACGGGAACCCTCTTGCACTGTTGGTGGGAATGCAAACTGGTGCAGCCGCTCTGGAAAACAGTGTGGAGGTTCCTCAAAGAATTAAAAATAGACCTACCCTATGACCCAGCAATAGCCCCGCTAGGAATTTACCCAAGGGATACAGGAGTGCTGATGCATAGGGGCACCTGTACCCCAATGTTTATAGCAGCACTTTCAACAACAGCCAAATTATGGAAAGAGCCTAAATGTCCATCAACTGACAAATGGATAAAGATGATGTGGTTTATATGTACAATGGAATACTACTTGGCAATGAGAAAGAATGAAATCTGGCCCTTTGCAGCAACGTGGATGGGACTGGAGAGTATTATGCTAAGTGAAATCAGTCAGGCAGAGAAAGACAGATACCATATGTTTTCACTCATGTGGATCCTGAGAAACTTAACAGAAGACCATGGGGGAGGGGAAGGGAGAAAAAAAAGTTACAGAGAGGGAGGGAAGCAAACCATAAGAGAGTCTTAAATACTGAGAACAAGCTGAGGGTTGATGGGGGGTGGGGGAGAGGGGAAAGTGGGTGATGGGCATTGAGGAGAGCACCTGTTGGGATGAGCACTGGGTGTTGTATGGAAACCAATTTGACAAAAAATTGTATTTAATATGAAAAGAAGAAAAAGCTAAAAGTAATCTTTGCACTTCTTTTCTGAGTAAATCTGAGAGCCTGAACATCCCACTCCCTTGTTTCTTCTTTGTGTTCTGCCTTTCCTGTATTTTTATGTTCCTTTTTGGCATTTTCCAAAATGCTGTGTGTGTGTGTGTGTGTGTGTGTGTGTGTGTGTGTGTGTTTAATGGTTATATTTTAACATGATTTGCAGAAATGTAACTAGCCCTCAAGCCAATCATTTCATGGATATTATTGCTTGAAGTAAAGCTATAATAATAAGTCATAGTGTTAGGTCTATATATTTTCTTAAAATTAGTAAATAATAATGCAGATGGTATCCTAAAAGGGCAAAAATCATGCAGGTGTTATGCAAATGACTGAAGCTTAGTAAACTGTACTCCATTGACGCTGTTGGTGCCTGTATGCAGTCGTGAGTAGCTTTTCAGCTAGTCATATCCCATTACCTATCCCTTGAAGTCTCAGGTTAGGAAGAAATATGTCTATCCTGAAGTCAAATTAGGAAGTGCTTTTTGCTGTAATATGTAGATAATGAACCAGTGTTGTTCAAGGTAACACTAACATGTATATTGGCATTTGAGGCTGGGCGGGGTTGGGGGGGGGTGCTTTGTATAAGCTTTGATTTGGCAGGTGAACATATGGACTAGGTTGTTGGCGGGGACAGGAAAATCTTAAGTCTTGGCAAAAAAAAAAAAATCCATCTTTCCTCTTACAAATCTTACTGGATAGGGTGAAGTGAGTATATGTCTCTGCTTATGAGTCTGTGTATATCTTATGCAACTTGAGTCCTATTCATAGTGGCTCTTCCATTAAGAAAATATAAACTTTTTGTAGATAAAGCTTATGTTTGAGGTTCTTGTAAACGAGGACAATTTATATATAGGCAGTTAGGTAAAGCAGTATTCTCTTTCTCCTCAGTGTGCCCTCCCTCTCCTTTTCTTCTTTAAATATTGGGCTCCAATCCACAATGGAAAGCATCTACAACTAAATTTACAAAGATAGGGACTTATTACTGGGTTTTATGGTGATTCAACCAAGCTGACTGGGAGAGGAATCTGGGTGCTCTCTTTTGGGATTTCTGTCAGGGATGTGTCAGGTCACAGCATTGCTATCGTGCAGGATTTTCATGCTGGATTAGGGCCTGCTTCACTGGTGAACTAACTTAGCTGGAACTTCCAGTCTGTTTCGGATGTGTCTTGTATTTGGCTAGCCACATAGTAAGCATGGGTCCTTGGCTTTCCTCCCAAGAATTTCATGCACATTTGGGGAGTCTGTTTTTTTGGTTTTTAAGTAGCTGGATTTGTGCTCAGGGGGGTTAGTGTTTCCTTTTTAACTAGCACAATAACAGGTTTAGTGGATAAGAATGTCATCAGCCTAACAAAAGAGGGAGAACATTTAAAAACTTATTTGCTATCCATAGATTTATTTATTTATTTATTTAATTTTTTTATATGAAATGTCAAATTGGTTTCCATACAACACCCAGTGCTCATCCCAACAGGTGCCCTCCTCAATACCCATCACCCACCCTCCCCTCCCTCCCACCCCCCATCAACCCTCAGTTCTCAGTTTTTAGGAGTCTCTTATGTTTTGGCTCCCTCCCTCCCTAACCTTGTTTTTTTTTTTCCTTCCCCTCCCCCATGGTCTTCTGTTAAGTTTCTCAGGATCAACATAAGAGTGAAAACATATTCTATCCATATATTTAATGTGCAATAGTCCTTGAGATGAATCATCCTGGTCTGAGTTATTCTGTTTATCATACTTCTCTTATGATAGATACTTATACAATGGAAATGTTTTTCCTGTTGTAGTTCAAATTAACATTACTATGGTTTTAGTCATTTCCCAGTGTAGTTACATAAAAATCAAAACCCAGATTAATATCATCTGCGCCAGAATAATATTAGTATTTTTGGGGTGATATGGAAACCTTTCTAAAACAGTTTATGTAACAAATATTTAATGAACATAAGAGCTGTGGTTAAAAGTACAGAGAATTGGGCACTTCTTGCTGCTTAGATTTCCTTGAAATGCTTTTTAGCTTTGGTTTGCCACCAGCTTTGCCTATGGTCAAAGTAAAATCTCAGTGTTTTATACTGTAAGCAAAATAACCTGTGTAGCTGTGAGTCTTACTAGAAAATAGTCTGGAATAAGGTATTCAGGAGAGAAAACATTTTATGAGTAGTTTTTTCTGTTTGTTTGAAAAGTTACACTTTGAAATCTTAGTTCTAAAGGTCGATTTTTTTTTTTATTCAGAATTTTTAAACAGTCCATTCTAAGTGATGATTTCTTTTTAAAAGTCCCCCAGTCCAAGTACCTATTTGGGAAAATAACATAAAAATAGCATTTCTCTGAATTCTTCACGTGTGCATTATTTAGGATGTTACAAAGAAATTCTGTACCTAAAAACAGTCATGCATAATCCTATTTAGACCAAAATTTTATAGCTAAGCTTCCATGTTAGCTATATGATCTTTTATTCAGAATCCGTTTTTCAGTCAGTATGTAAACCTCTCTATTGCTTGGTACCATGCCTTACACCTAATAGCAAATACATTTTTAAAGTTGAATTGCTTTTAACTTTTACTTTTTTTATTTTTAGAAAAGGTATAGTTTGGCAGTGGGGCCTCCCAAAAAAGACCCAAAAGTCAAGGGTGTCCAATCTGCAGCTGTTCAGGCTTTTCTCAGACGAAAAGAAGAGGAGCTCCGGCAAAAAGGTACATATCTATAGCTTTATTGTCAATTTTAAAGTCTTCTACCTTCACAACTAGCTTGTACTTAACTAGCGGATGCTTGTAGTAACTTAATAGGCTAAGGGATTTGTGTGCCTGAGTCAGCTGTATTTAGAGCATATTACATGTGTTCTCATGCTGATCATTTGTATGGATGTTATCTTTTATTTCTTCTTAGTGCTTTTGGGGATAGCGGCCATATCTTGCAATTGGCCACACTAGGTCCCAATAAGAACTCCATTCTTTGACCTTCATTCTGAATCTGCTTCTACATATTTTGTATTTTAATTTTTTTAATTATCAAGAATGCTATCTTAAAGGTTAAAAATAGGGGCAATTTTTGAAGACCAGCAAACTTAAACAGTAGTTTTACCTCATGCAAATGACAAGGAAACTGATTTAATACATTTAAGTATTCATTTATTCATAGTTAATAATGACTGTGAAGTGGTTCCTACTGTTTCCTTAACTTGGTATCTTTATTTGGTATGAATTATTTTCTATATTTAAAGCTAAAACCCCAGTCTCTCGCTTGCTTTGTCATATTGAAAACCCCATACGTAACCCACTCATTATGTAAAGATGACTCAACTGATACTTGTTCAAAGGACTTCCTCCTTTGATTCCTAGATGTCTTCAAACTGTAACTTGAATGTTGCCTGTGTTTTGGCCACCTACTGATTTCGGATGAACATACTTGAGACCTCCAGACCTTGAAATACTTTGTTCTTGTTTTCTCCATTTTAGCTTTAGAGGAGAAAAGGAGAAAAGAAGAACTAGTGAAAAAGCGAATTGAGCTAAAACATGATAAGAAGGCAAGAGCTATGGCCAAGAGGACAAAGGATAATTTCCATGGTTACAACGGGATTCCCGTTGAGGAAAAGTCAAAGAAGAGGCAGGTGATGGAAAGCCACACTAGCCAGGGAACAGAACAAGAGTATGGGATGGAAGAAGATGATGAATTCTTAGAGTACAATCAAGCAGAGTCAGAGCAGGAGTATGAGGAGGAGCAAGAACCTCCCAAAGTTGAAAGCAAACCAAAGGTCCCCCTTAAAAGTGCCCCGCCACTCATGAACTTCACTGATCTACTCAGGCTGGCCGAGAAAAAGCAGTATGAACCAGTGGAGATCAAAGTAGTGAAGAAAACAGAAGAGCGGCCTATGACTGCAGAAGAACTTAGGGAGCGAGAATTCCTTGAACGGAAACAGAGGAAAAAGAGAGCTGAGACAGATGCAAGACTACCTCCAGCCAAAAAGGCACCTTCTCAGAAAGAAAGTGTGGGCACAAAACTTGGCAAACACCCTTCCTCCAGGGGTACACCCCTCCCTCATGCTGAGAAGAAATCCAGACCCAGTACAGCCAATGAAAAACACTTAAGTGTGTCTTCATCCAAATCCATGCCAGGAGAGAGGACCAAAGCAGGATCTGGCAATTGCTCCCAGCCCTTATTTCGAGAGGGCCATGACAGACCTGTTTTCAATGGGGCTGGAAAGCCCCACTCCAGCACCTATTCACCAAGTGTCCCAAAGACTTCTGCTAAAGGGCCTCAGAAATCTGCTACTGAGCACAAAGCCAAAAAATCTCCTCCCCATCCTAGCCATTCCAGGCCTGGGCCTGTGGTTACCCCACACAATAAAGCCAAGAGTCCAGGTGTCGTCAGGCAGCCAGGCAGCAGCTCCAGCTCAGCTCCCGGGCGGCCCAGCACAGGGACTGCTCGGCCCACAGTTAGTTCTGGCCCCATGCCCAGGCGCCAGAATGGCAGCCCCAGCTCAGGACCTGAGCGATCAGTCAGTGGGACCAAGAGGCCAGCCAGTGACTTAAATCTCTCTGGACGGACACTCAGTGGTACAAGTGGCCCTGGGCATCCTGCAAATAGCTCAAGTGGACCTGGACGACCCACCACTGGCTCAGGTGATTCTAGGAAGTCTTTGGGCAGCTCTGGTGGCCCTGGGCGGCCTGTGAGCAGTCCGCATGACCTCCGACGACCAGTGAGTGGCTCTGGCCCCCCTGGGCGGCCAGTCAGTGGCCCTGGGCGGCCAGTCAATGGCCCTGGGCGGCCAGTCAGTGGCCCTGGGCGGCCAGTCAGTGGCTCAGTTCCAGCCGGACGGACGGTCAGTAGTTCAGGCCCTGGAAGACCAGTGAGCAGCTTGGGACCTGGGCGAACAGTTAGTAGCTCCGGTCTCCCCCTAAAACCCAAGTGTACCGTTGTCTCAGAAACAATTTCTTCCAAGAATATAATTAGCCGATCCAGCAATGGACAGATGAATGGAATGAAGGCTTCCTTATCTGGCTACAGATCTGCCCAAGGTAAAACTGTCCTTCACCCTAAGGATATTGACTTGTTACTAGGAAATTGGAAAGAGTACTTTGTTTTACGTAAACTGAGACCCTGTGAACCCTTCCATGTGCCCTTTAATGTACTCCTGTATTGATAGAATCCTGATGCTCTGTCTCTCTTTATGCCTGAGAGTCCCTTTAGTGATCATAACTTGGAAAAGGCTTTAGAAAGAGAGTTATCTGGGACCCTCTGTGTTCACCCCTGTAACGTCTCCAAGTGCATGAAACTTGGCTATGTGATTTGTGAGACAGGATGAGTGAATATGCCTTATATGGTTCAATGAATTAATTCATCTTTACCTTTTCATGAGAACTAGAGAGACCTTTCTTCAAAAGTTGGAGTATATTTGTAAACTTGAAGCCTTTGGTGCATTTATTCATCAGATACTTTTTAAGTATCCACAATGTACCGGGAACTGCCCTTGTGTTTCTGCTCCTTGTAGTGGGCAGCACATCAAGACCCTAGCTACTGGTCCTTTATGAATCTACTTAGGTAAGATTCCATGCTTTAACTTCTTAGTTCAGCTAGAACATTGGTTCTCAACCAAGGATGATTTTGATGCCCAGTGAACATTTGGCAGTGTCTGGAGACATTTTTGACTGACACCACTGGGCCCAGGGGATGCTACTGGTATCTAGTAGATAGAGGCCAGGGATGCTGCTATTATACTATAGGACACAGGAGAGTCTGCTCACAAAGAATTATCTGGCCCAAAATGTCAACAGTGCAGAAGTTGAGCCGAGCTAAGGAGACAAGCCATGCGTATTAAAAACAACTGTAGATCAATAAAAGGAGTGTCTGTAATCAAGGACTAGAAAGCAGTTGTTCCCAGATGCTGTTCTATTGATCATTGCCTGTCTTTTGCAAAGTTTTATTCAGCCTTTTGGCAAAATGACAAAATAATGATAATGTAGTGATTTTCTTTTAAAGTCAGACTTACTCATTTCAATAATTATCCATAATTCTGGGAATCTTTCATACTTTGTTGGACTTCTAAAAAAAAATAGGAATGAAATTGTGATAATAGATGGTAGGTTGTTACTTTTGGTGTCTTTTTCATGGCAGAATTAAAAGTTAGAGATCCTGTAAGCTATTTGTAATTTTCTTTTTAATTTTATCAGTCTTTTAAATCCAGAAGGAAGGCAGCTGTTAGGCTACAAGATGTGACAGATGCTTCTGGTAAGCCCTGGGATAAAAATAAATTCTACTCCTTGTAGACAACATGAAGCAGCAGGGATGATTTCGTAATGAGTCCATGCTATGGGCCAGTTTGCTGGCTCTGGTTTTTGAGGATACTGTCTTAATGAATTCTTAAAATCTCAGTTTATGTAAAACTTTGTTGGGACTATTTTCAGTTTTAATGCTCCTATAAATAATGACTTTTCTATTCTTAGGTCCTCAAAGGCTTCCCTTCCCTAGTGGTTACAAAAGGCAACGAGAATATGAAGAGGAGGAAGATGATGATGAATATGACTCTGAAATGGAAGATTTTATCGAAGATGAAGGAGAACCTCAGGAAGAAATATCCAAGCACATTCGAGAAATCTTTGGCTATGACCGAAAAAAGTAAGGCTATAGGTGGTTTAGATAAATGATATACTTATTTTGAATGACTCGTGCTATGGGGGAAAAGCAAACATTAATAGCAGAGGCATTGAATAAAATTCTTAATTAGGAACCATTGGATGATTGTTTAAGATTTACTCTTTTGGCACCACCTAACGGTTAACTCAGAATTTTTTGTGTGGTTGCATGCAAAAAAATACCTTTTTAAACTGTTGCCCTTGTAAGATGTATATTTAATGAGAGTGAAGCAGCTTACTGGAATAGAACTAGATTGGCTTTGAACTCAGAAAGCCATCCACAGACCCATGTTGAAAGCTAGTCTGATCTGACATCACAGACCTGTGTTGAAAGCTGGTCTGATCTGACATCTGCTTTTCTTTGATGTAAAAAGCTTTACTGCTCAAAAGTGTGGTCCCTGGACAGCAGTCAGTATGGGACCAACATCACTGACATCACCTGACAACAGCATTAAGAAATGCAGGCTCTCAGGCCCTACTTCAGAGCTACCAAATCTAAATCAGCTTTATACGGTTCCCAGGTAATTCAAATGCACATTAAAGTTTGAGAACACTAGTATAGATGAAAGATCAGGGTTTGAATAGAAGTTCTACCACTTCCTAGCTGGATAAACTTGAGTAAATTATTTTCAGAATGACATCTGGAAGGATTAAATGAGATAAAACAGAAGGGACATATGTTTTGTATGTAAAACAGAAGGGACATAGTGCATATCGGTTGACAGTTGCCCTCTCCTTTAAAGCCATGGATATGAGAAATTAGAAGGCAATCCTGAGAAAAAGTGTTTAAAAAAAATTTTTGGTAAAAAGAGTAGTAAAAAGAATTGGAATAAAAATCAGATTTAAAAATCTAATATTAATGGGGCACCTGGGTGGCTCAGTTGGTTAAGTGTCTGACTTTGGCTCAGGTCATGATCTCCCAGTCTGTGAGTTCAAGCTCCGCATCGGGCTCTGTGCTAACAGCTTAAAGCCTGGAGCCTCCTTCAGATTCTGTGTCTCCCTCTGTCTTTGCCCTTCCCCCACTCACTGTCTGTCTCAAAACTAAATAAACATTAAAAAAAAATTTTTTTAATAAAAACCTAATATTAGTAATGTCATTGGCTAGTTATATGTTCTTGGTCAAACCATTAATCTGCCTGCTTCAGTCTGTGTTCTAAAGTCCTTTCTCACAAAGCTCAAATGCGATTAATATGTACAAAATGATTTCCATATATAGTGTGCTTTCAGGATTTTAATATAAACTATTCTGTAACTAGAGGCGAGTGAGGTGAGTAAGCATTGTTGGATTGAGTACCTTCATTGACATTAGATTCAGGAATAATTGCCTTCAGGGAGTAGTGAGGGCTCATTTAATTTGCCTTGACTTCAGAAACCCACTGCTACCTGTCCTCTGCCTCTGTCACTCCTTGCCAAAGAAAGAAGAGTAATCCTGTGTTTTTTATTAGTTATAAAGATACTGATTTTTAAAACAGGAGGATGCAGTTCCTAAATATTTGGGAATTTGGGTGTTTTCCCTAACAACATTGATTTCCTCTTATCAGATACAAAGATGAAAGTGATTATGCCTTACGTTACATGGAGAGTAGTTGGAAAGAGCAGCAGAAGGAAGAAGCAAAGAGGTAAGCACAAAACTGAACACATTTGTGCAGAAATGTCCTAATCGTTCCTTTCTGTTTGCTGCTCCAGTTACATCATTGGGAGCAGAGGTTTGGGGCCCCTCGCTTCTGAATTCCCATCCTGGTTACTTGCTGTGGGACTTTAGACAAATTCCTTAGCCTTTCTAAATCTGTCTTCTTGGGGCACCTGGGTGGCTCAGTCTGTTAAATATCCGACTCTTGATTTCAGCTCAGGTCATAGTCTCACGGTTCATGGGTTCAATGCCTGCGTGAAGCTCTGTGCTGGCATTGTGGAGCCTGCCTGGGATTCTCTCTCTCCTCTTTCTCTGCCTCTCCCTCCCCTGCTCTCTCTCTCTCAAAAATAAACTTAAAAAAATTTTTTTTTCAATCTGTCTTCTCATGGGTAAAGTGAGAATTAACTCTTTTTACCCATTGAGGTATCACATTAAGTATACAAGTTGCTTAGTGCGGTGCCTCACCTATATAGGCACACAGTCAGTCCTGGAGGCCTCCTCTGATCCCATTGTAACAAGTTCCTTGTTTTTCTTTCCCCATCTTTAATTCCCTTTCTACATCAAACACATCTCAGTCTTGCTGACCTGTACCACTGCTGGCCATAGGGACCTGATGAGGAATATGAAATTCTGTCTAATTCCTATTTGGCTACCTGATAATAAAATTCATGATAAGTTCTTAGGGTAGGGTAACAAGAGATTGCTTTGTTTATAGTGTTAACTTGGTAAGATAATTCCCCTCAGTCTCAACCCAGAATATTAAACCTCTTCCCTCTTGCCTTCCCTTCATGTAACTACATAAAATATCCAACTAAAGTGATGCGAAGGGATAAGAATAGAATGTTATTTATTGAATAAATTGTCTTTTATTTCTAAAAGCCATTGTGATAAACAATTTACATTTTATTACTTTAAGGGGAATGTTAAGGTATTTTATGTTGAGGTTTTATGTGAGGTCTTTTTTCTACTAGAAGTTGAATCAGTGGCCGAGGCTCCTAGTAAAAAATATTCCTGCTAGTTTGTTTTCAGTGGTAAAAGCCTTGAGGCGTTTTTAATGCCTCAGCACATTCCATATGAGCTCCCAGTTGAAATTTCATTCTTAATTTTTAAAGAGGGTGGTAATGTCATGTATATTGACAAGTACTTTTTTTCTGTGTGTGACAGTTTAAGACTAGGTATGCAGGAGGACTTAGAGGAAATGAGACGTGAAGAAGAAGAAATGAAGCGTCGAAAGGCTAAGAAGCTGAAGAAGCGTTAGCTGCTGCTTTTATTATTTTTGTGAAATTCTGGAGACACTCTGCTGCCAGGAGGTCCTGCCTTCAGAATGAAGAAGCCCCTTTATGATTTTAATTTATACTTGGGTACTCAAGGAGAAGGAATGCATACTGTTATTTGCAGGCTGTCATTGGAGCATAAAGTATTTTCAGATACTTTCCAGGGTTAAACCTAATGCAGATGATAGAATGCCCAGTGAGCGTGCTTATGAAGTTAACTGTTCACAGGTGCCCGCCTTGATCCTGATGAGCTATGCACTCTAATGGGGGCCGTTCACTGTCAGCCAATCTTACATTGTTCCTTTGCTATTTTGAAAAGGAAAAAAAAA